CGATGATTACATAATCTAAGCGACTTGCTTAATATTTATTATACTATTGTAATGTGCACATTACATTCTAGTACTATATATTTATTAAGTTTATAACCTCTCAAACAGAGTTTCTAGATATTATAAACATTAATAGAACTTTTATACAAATTATAAGTATAGAAAAACCTCTTTATTATATTGTATATTAGATACAAACCTTTTTCTTCAAGTATAATACTATTACAGTGCTTTTATTCTCTATATATAACTAATAAAATGTATATACCCTTTATATAAGACTATTATAATACATTTACCATATTATATTAATGAATAATACTCATAGAGCTTTTATAAGAGTATATAAGACTTGCTTTTACTTTATAATAGAGTTAAATACTTATAATTACAATAAAACTGATAAGTAATGTGTATTTTATTATATAAGATCTATAAAGCTATATAAGAAAACAGACTTTTTCCTGACGCATGCCTCGTAGTTCATGGACTTTTGCAGGAGACACGGTCCGCCCTCAATACCGAGGCCGTTGCACATCTAGAGCATTCGAATGTCACGCTTTCAAGTTATTGACGTCCGATGAAGCCGACGCCAAGTACTTTCAGCATGGCGTTCATGAGGTGGCGCGAAGACTTAGCAAATAATTATGACTTTGTCCGTCCGGAATGGCACGTGACGTGTTTCCTTTGACGGCGGCTGCTCATCTTCTTTGTCCAACTCCGACTTCGAAGTGGACATCCGTCATGCGAGGATCTTGAGAAATGGTCCCTGAAACGTATGCATGTCGGTCGACTATTCTTGCGGGAACCTTCAAGACTACTGTCGATCACCTCCACTCAGTTTTATGATGGACACCTGCTGAGCCCTGATCGCTCTGTCCAAAAGTCTAGCCTTCCCTTGTCTTTACTGGCGATCATACTTCTCCTTCAACTGAGCCAACAACTATTCTGGACACGTCTTCGAGCCATACATATCTCCGAAGCGAAGAAAAGTGACATCGCCAGGAGGATCTTCGCACAAAACGCGTGGAGGCAACGTTGATGCGAAAAATAATATTGGAATTGATTTGGAGTACAATTAACTAACCCATGTTTACTGGCCTTCTTAGAATTGAAATGCTACACATCAACCATGGTCGCTTGAGAATAATGCTATTATTGGCATCTAACTCACCTACAGTTTCGGCCGACCGACTTAATGACACCCGACTGACGGCGAACCGGCCAGCAAGTTCAAGCCAACGTTGCCGTCCACATAGTGACATATCCACTATTCGCATGAAGCGCGTGTAAATTGTCTCGTTGTGGTGGCTTTTGGTCTACGTGCATGCCTGAACTGTTCTCTTCACTTATTTTGGTTGCATCCCTAATTCTTGCTAATGAGTTGTGATGCAGCTCGCTACTAGCGTCGATGGTTGCGACGATCGCCATGTGGGATCACTTTACGAATGGATCTTCAAGTCGAACGAGGTCGGCGCATCTGCTTCTGATATTCTTTCAGTGGGATATTGACGTAGGAGGCGTCCTCTTGCTGCGTGCAGACCAAAACCATTGGGGTAAATGTGGCAAAAAGCTCTGCACACGTTAATAGTGGTAATGGAGATGGGTGCGGATGGTAGTTTGACTTCAAACGGACATTACACGCCAACAATTGACAATATAGATCCTTCCCATGGATGGTAACATCTAACTTCTCAGGCTTTTCTTGGACCGAATTGGATTCTATGTTGCGGCCGGGCTGATCGCACATGTATTCAGTATAGACCTAAAAGCATTTCCCGACAAGGGAGAGTCTTTACATCCGGCCAGTACGAAAGAAGCCCGCAGCAATCTTGCGACTGGATGGCTGTGACCGGCGCATCATAACACTCCTACTGACCGCTACTGACTTCACAAGGTTCGAAGTCCGCTCATCTTCTCTATTCATTCTAAAACCAAGGATCAATCTTGGTGTGAATCTCCCAAGGCCTTGGTCGACAACGCGCATCTCCACGAAGTCCCAAAGGATGTCTCCGCGGTTGGCCTACTCAGGTACATACACTGATCGAGCAAGAATTCGAGGGCCGGTGCTAGGAAGCAGTTAACCCCAAACGACAAGTCAGTGAAGTTGAAGCAAAGCAGCTCGATCCGCCCTTTCATCGGAGTCGAGGTACAAGTTCCAGCCTTTGTATCCGGTTCCTGAGAGCCCAGAAGTTCTTCTCTTCTGGTCTAGTTCAATATGATGTCTGTTGTACTTGCTCACCGTCTGTCGCCGCCACAATCAAGGTTTTAGAACGAAAGTGGATGCGGGATGGAAGTTGATGGAGATCTAGTCCTCCGGCTATCCGTGGATCGACTGACCCGATCTCGTCCGGCATCGGCATCTGGATGTATGGAAGCTACTCAGCGGTGAGTTTCGCTTTCAAATTCTAATGTTGTGGTCACGTTCTTCTTACAATGAATACCTTCACTGGGACTCAGTGTATTCAATCATGTGCAATGACTATCCCGAGCTAGCCGATTAATCTGTACTTCGAATATTTCCTCCCCCCTTCCTCCCTGCTGCGTTCGTTTCGATTTCTGCGAAGAAGCTTAAGGTGGTACATCGAGATTGATCGTTCTCGGATAAAACACATAGCTTGATTGGTTGAAAGCTGTCCAGATGGAATGCTGATTGGTTACTCAGATCTTGTCTGTCATATCAACCAGATATACGAGCGAAGTGGTGCTCAGCTTAACAAGCAGCGATCATATCTTATCGACCATGCCAACTGTAACCCGGCTCAAAGAGAAACGAATTACCGGAGGAGGATATGAACCACACTATCCTTACCTGGGCTCTATGATTGTATCCTGAAATCACCAAGTTCATCATTAATAATGGATCTGCGGACCGGTTCCGTGGACGCCCTGACTGCAGAAAGGCGAAGTGAGATGAAGCGCCAAGAAGCAGCAAGATTTAATTCCCCCTTCATATCTCTCCGGAGCATATTTAAATGAAACGATGGGAAGAAGATACACGTCATTCCGTACGTACGCTGACCCGGGAGAAGGGCGGGAACACACAAAGACAAGCCAAAATCCTATACTTAGATCGGGGTTACTTACTTCATCACCACCTACATCAGCGGCTTTTATCATCTCAATTCAACCTACAGTTTTGCAGAGATACGCACATCAAAGATTGCAATCGGGCGTGTTATTGCAGCCCTTCAATCTCCCTTTGCTTCTTTTTCCCTATTCCATTTCCCCCGTTTGAAAGGAACGCAAGAAAAGGAAGGCAGAGGGCAGAGGCCGAAGACGGAAGTTTCCATTGCGAGGAAAACAAAGCTAGGTAAAGTCTAAAGCCTGACTAGCGGTAGCGGGCTTAGCCCATACTTGAGATATTGCCTTTCTGTTCCTGGGCCTTAAGATGTATTTTACATTTAATTTGCGGTGTCTAATAAAGCTTGCCGACCGGCTGACAGTCCGGTCATAGCGGTTTGCATGTTTGTGGACCCGTGTGACCCGCCGAAAGTACGATTAACCCGTTATTGTATTCGTGTACCATCGCAGTCAAAGAATGCTAAGTCGGTTTGATCGATGAACGGACGCATATACATGAGGCGCTCGTATGGAAAATAGGACAGGGGACTAGGGGCTGAGGTCTCGGGACAGGAAGGCGAGTGGGGCCGGTACAAGTCCACGCACATGCGTGAGAAACGTGTTTTCTGTTGTTTTGACTTTCACCACATGTTGGATGATAAGTCAGAAAAGAGATAAGCTAGTGAGGAAGATACGTAGATGTCATGCTTTGTGGCTGTCACATCATATCATATCATATCGCTATCTCGATGAGGGTTTGTGTTGTACATCCGGGTGTATTCAAAGGGTTCAATGGGTACGCCGTACATACTTTACTTGTGTAAAGGGCCGAGTTGATTATAGCTTTGCGGGATTGGACCACTTAGGCTTGCGTTTCTGATGACAAGGTTGATAGAACAATGAGAATACTGTTCTTGGAGTTCACACGCCACGGGGGAAACTCACCTCGCTGAACGCCCTAAGGCCTTCCTATATTCCAAGAAAGAGCAAACACAAGAAAGAATCAGCAAGATCAATCACACACGGAACATGGATCAACGGCAATGTAAACTGTAAATAATCCCGGCCGAATGTCCTTCTTCCTCTGCCGGAATGACGACATCGACATACGACGCGACTTCGCGCAAGTTCCGGAGAGTTCTCTTCTGAGAATCGGAAACATACATGTACATACCTTTATGTTCTCTCCAGCATAATGACGCACACTCTCAGCGGAGAGTGCGTGTTTGACCATAGCTTCATCGACGTCACCGTGCTGCCATGCGAGAATTATTCCGCGCTTGGTACTTTGCACAGCGTCGGGCGAGCAGTCACGGATGATCGCATTTGCCCAGTTAAGAGCCTCTGGTATTATTTGCTCCTTCGGTACGATCTTGTTAACACTTTCGATGGTGATTCGTCCGCCCATCCGGTAAGCCGATTTCGTATTTCGTTTCACGTATCATGGCATGGATAATCGGAATGACGACGTCGGGACAAGGAAAGCGAGACGGAAACCAGATAAGCATCAAAGCCAATTATTAGCTCGGAGATCGTCTCAGATAGGAACATTGCACAAAAGGATATTGCAATAGATAGAAATGGAGAAATACTTAAACGGGAGGAGAGTAGAAAAAAGAAAGGAATAATACGCACAAGCCGAAACGGGAATATGCTTCCTGAGCCGTGACCGTCCGGCCGAATAACATCATCTCGGAGGCAAGCTAGCCGGATGGGTGCACCGAGTTTGGTAAACGGAGCACAAAAGAGCGTGACGTCAGCACGGACGCGTGATTCAAAACACAGGACAAAAACGGGTATGCAAATGTTGTGGCGAATTCTAGTGTTCAGAATGACACGCATCAATATAGTAAAAGAACTCACCTGACGACCAGCTGTAGCAACGAGGCGCGGAATGCCTACATAAAGACGAAGGGACAATCAGTGTTCGTGAAGATTGCGGTTTCGAAAATACAGAAGGCCAGGATTAAGGGGTCAAACGAACGAAGTTGTTGAACTGTTCTCCTTCAGACAAATTTGACACACTTTCGTGATCATGCCTCCTCGAGCAATCACCGCGGAGCTATGAATCAGTCTGGAGCATATAACATGCAAGCGGTAACCAAGAAGGAAAAAGGTAGTAACAAAGTACGAGAAAAGATATGAACTCCGGACTCCAACATCGGAAATATGTAGAAGGAAGTGACGAAAGTCAGAAAGAAGCATTACGTACCCCCAGCAGCAGGGACTACGCCAACCTTGACCTCTGGTAGTCCAAAGGTAGCATCGTCCGCTGCGATCACAAGGTCGCAATTCAAAAGCATCTCTACCCCACCGCCGAAAGCGCCGCCGACTACCGCGGCGATGAGAGGCTTGCATGAGGCCGTGCGACGCGAAATGGCTCCGAATCCATGAGTCAAGGCTACGATCCCTTCAGGGCTGTGTCGATTCGTTTTTACATTGGAATCGGACGTCTCCTTCTCCCAACTAACGTAAGGATCAAACCGAGAATGTTGTACATCAGTTGTGCGATGCAAGTCCCCGTTGACCCCGTCAGGTTCCAGAAGATTTCAAGAAGTCAAGGATGATTTAGTTAATCATGATTGTGATACACGAGCAGTGTATGCATACGGCACAGTATCCACGGAAAGAATTATACCCGTGTTGTGTGAAATGTGCAATGATAATGTTTGAATGTGAGGATCATAGGTGAGAGCAGGCGGCGGGTGGCGCGAACACATGTTGTGTCGGATATTGTTATCATGGCCAAATATACGGTTCGGTACAAACGGCACATATAGCAAGGCCGATTCACCAAGGGAAGGTTGCGGGAAGCAATATAGTACAGAATGAGGGTCCGACAGCATGCATGCACCGCGCGTAAAAGGGTACCAAAGCCACAGTCGTGTGTTGGGGAAATTCGTACGCAATAGACCGTCATAGAGCCAAATTCCATGACCCACAGAGCCAGCGATAAGAAGGATGGAAGCCTAAGTCAGTAAAGCAGTTCACAAAATCACACATGAAGTTCGCCGTGCTGTTCATGCTTCGCAACATCTCTTTGCTTCCGAACTTTTAGAGGTGGCCTCGGCGGGCGCTCCGTGACAGGTCATCGAAGTCATCGAAGTCATCGAAGCCATGCCAAAACGGAATTAAACCACTTCGTGCAAGTCGGAAGACGGGAGAAGAAACGAGTCGAACTCACGCTTTTAGGTCGGCACCTGCACAAAAGACACGGCCGTTGCCTGTAATAATCGCAACCCTAGATAGTAGAAAGAAAAGGTATTCAGCTTTACATTATATGAAAGAATAATTGTGCGGTGAACTAATAGTAAGCGAATTCCGGATAAAATGCAACTTTATAGGACAATGTATCGTCATGGAACTGTGGTGAGCATTTAACACGATCTAGTCGCGACATGTCAAGGGATAAACTCTGGGATTGCGGAGTTTCTTTTTCTTTAGAGCCCGTCAGAAAATATTGATAATGTCTATGTGACGTCGTGTTCCTTTGCGCAGTACAATTTGCAAAGAAAACGCGAATCCCGCGATCGCAGATATACATAAAACAAAGGCGACCGAAAGTCGATTTTTCATGTTTGAGGTGCCAAGACCCGTCTAACAATGTTCGTTAAAACGGAAATAACAAAGTACTCACCAAAGACTAGGCTGGGCATCAAACCAAGCGAGAGTTCGTCCGATGTCCGCTTCAAGTGTCGGCGACATTGCATTCCGTGCAGCTGGGCGATTGAGCGTTAGTTGCATAACGTGTTCCGCGGGAAAAGCAACAATCAGCTCATGTGAAGTTGTCGGCGGAGGTGGCTCAAAAGCCAATGTCATAACAGGTTTGTTGGAGGACATCTGGCTCGTTTATTTGTTTGATGATTGATTGACTGACTGAATGGCGGACTGCTGGATCGTTTGAACCTGACGATTGGTGTACGTGAGTGATTCAGCGGCGTGTTCTTCCGTGACGAACTTACGATTTATGTGTATGATCGAGACGAAGGTTCCTGTGTCGGAGATATCAAAGCGTCAGCGACGGAGTCCATCATTACCGAAAAATTCGGATGCATAGTGAAGCCGACCGGGCTCTCAACCCGCCGAGCGCAATAAAATAAGAAGCTCAAGAACTAACAAGAAAACAGGGGACCAGGACAATATAAACACACAGTACACGTCACAAAAACGTGCCTAACAACAATATTAAAATAATTCTTTGTCCCGATTGACGTGAAAATCCCGATCAAGCAGAAAAATCGCACGTCAACAAAGTGGATGACGCACGTGTAAATGATCGTACTAATCTCCCTGACTTGTTCACTTTGGAAGTTCCTGAAACTCGGTTTAAGTCTCCACCTCAGCGCTTGCCTCTGGTCCAGAGCTGGACGAGACTTTTAATTGGTCTGTCTTGTTAATTACACTGGTCCCTTAGTCAGTTATCGAGGTTTTCGGGTCTCTTGAGTATATTGATATTCCCTTGTTTCGTGTTGTAGCACTTAACGGGTACCGAGGTTCAATTGAGCGGCAGGTTAATAAGCAACAAGCGGGCGGGAGACGGAAGATCTGTTGAAAGAGGATCGGCGGCAGGCGACGCGAAAAATGATTAAAAAATATGAGCGCCTCGAAGCCTAAGGCGTAGTAGTGCACCCGGCGACACAGAGATAAATTAGTCGCTATGCAGCAGGTCTTTCGACCTCTTCGTTTCGAAATAAAGATATGCCATCCGGAGATGGGTTGCAAAGCAAGTTCATGATATTTTGGCGAAGCGAGCCGGGTTCGCATGGCAGCGAAGCAGAAATGGAGCGTGTTATGGTTAATGAGTTCGAGAAAGATCAAACTGAGAGAGGACTGGACTCACATGTATGGTAAGCGACAGAGGAAAAGGACAAGCAAACGCGAGCTTGTGATCGATGAGGCAAGACTAATCGTCGAGGATTAGAGATGCTGGCAAAGATATCGGAATTCAACCGAATCGATGTGACGTCGGCAGGAGGTGCGGTAGTACTTGAAAGAAAGGAAGGGGTGCGGGGAAAAAAGAAAAACAAGGTGATCGATTGCGGGGAAGAATTAGACTTGGGAGAGTAATCGTGGTCACGGACGCGGACCGTCGCGGCGCCGTTGTCGGCAGTCGCACGCAGCTATCTAGCCGACGCCACTGCACAAGAAAATCGCGGTTCTTCATTTTTCCATCTCCTTCATGTGTGCAATCTGCCCTGGTTTCAACTGCCTACACAGCCTGTTTTCCCATCTTTCACCTTCTTTCGCCCTTTGCCATCGCATGCTCTCTTTGTGGACTGTGAGATTGATACCAGGAACAGAGAAAAGAAATAAGCTGCGTCACGCGATCGAGCGTTGGTCACGGCGCACATGCAGCCGTACTGGTAATCTTGAATTTCCTTGTTGGTCATTCCGAAACGTGCGGATGGGTTAGCAGCTGCTGGTATAGGTGGCGTCTCCATTTTACAAGACTAAGAAAGTTGCTGAGGCAGTTTCTCCATTCCTCATTTCACCACGAGTTTACGGTTCGGACCCTCGGAGTGGGAACCGGATCCTCGGCTCTCTCGTCCGTGCTTGCGTCCATGTCCGCATGGGCAAGTTCAAAGAGACTGAGCAGGACACAAAGGCAAGCAATGGAAAAGAGCTAATAGGCGCGAGATAGAACGCGCATTGAACTCAGTCGTTCCCAGAGCATCCCACGCTATTGAACAGTACCATGGTAAGTCTGTGGATCTTGGTGGTGTCCACGGCACTTCTTCCGACTCGAGGGCTGAATGAGTGAGAGTGGAATGGAACTTGCTGCCCTTTGCACGGGGGCGATGAGGCGATATGCACACTAATAAGGATGTTGGCCAGTGCACAATATCATGCATGAAATAATTGTAAGTATTATGGACACACATCGAGGGAAGCTGAAAGCAGTAACTTTAGAAGTAGCAATAAGAGACAGAGCTGGAGAGGATAGAGTGACAGGGAAATAAGGTGTGAATACATGAGCAATATTAAGATTAGATGAATCTCTTCTCTTCTGCTAATTCTGTTCCGACTCCAGGTGGCAATGGTACAACAGTGAGGAACAACAAGGAAAAATAGACAAGGTTACATAGCGGAGGCGAATATCGGAAACCGGAAGACCGCGCGGAAGAGTACGGGCTTCGGGATTAGCAGCGCGACGGCATCGAATAGGCGCACCAGTGCGGGTATTGGCTGTAGGGTATGTCGAAGACGCGGAACGATTTGTACAATGCATGGTGAAGGACGAAAGCCGAGTGGCGATGGAGAGTGAACAAAAACGAGATGACTGAGCAGGTGCGGTGTAGCAAAGTGGAAAACAATGACCTAGTATGAATGAGCACGAAGAGTGTCAGACAAGTCCTCCTCCCAACACTACGACAAAAGGAAAGGAGACACGCACAAGAAACAATCGGGCAACCGGACAGCACGATCAAGAAAACTGCATGAGGGCAACCATCGCAGTCTCTATCCTATCTATCCCTTGAATGGACAGTTCGAAGCATGCGAATTGCGGTATCCACAATGGCAACATTGTGCAGTGGACTGGTCAACCAGCTGGCTGGTCGTGGCATCAGGGACGGCGCTGTTGACAAGCGTTACAGATGCTAGCGGCAATGGAGATGCATGTGTGGAGCCACGGCAGAAGATGTCATCGGCATCCCAGGAGGTGGGTGCAGGGGTACTGCAGTTGCAGGACACGGCGGTGGAGCAGACCATGTTGAGCAGGAGGCAGGTGACGAATGCACAGCGTACGGGTACGGTTGAGAGTCGAGGACGACGGGTGCAAAAGCGAGAGCACAAGTGAGTCAAGCGACGACGAATACGAGGATGGGGAGAAATCCGGCTCACCTGACGGGTCTTTATATGTTTTTGTGTTCTGGCAGCGAGCTAGTCTGAATGATGCTTGTGCTGAGTCTCCGATGCAGTTGACGAAAAGAAACGCGCCAGATTCAATTTCAGATCCAAGATTGTTCATACACGGGCGAGCTCCCCGGGGTCCCAAGGGTTGCCGGCCCCCGGATAGCTCGAAAGGCCTCCGACCGGATGTTTCCCGGCTCTTGGCCCGACACGGAAGGTCAGCTCCCCTTCAGGAAGTTTTCCAAATCTGTCCTTATTGATGATAGTTGTCGTGTCGCAAATGAATCCGTCCATTCTGTATGCGGGGAAACGCTGCGAAGCTCGGGTGTCGACGCGGTCTTACGGCTCGCTTTCATGCATGCAAGATTCCGCATCGCATCGCACTCCCGCCTTACTTCTCGACCATAAGGTTTGCGGAAGTGGGCAAGTTGACGAAAGCTGACAAAAATATAAACACACACACAATAATACGAATGCACGCATGCACGCCCATCCTTCGTTTCACACAGGCTGTGTTCCTGAATCCCTGAGAGTCGGCACACACACCATCTCTGACGTCGCATTCTTTCTTCTCTACCGTAACCTTGTTCTCCCCGCCCCCGGCTATCGGTGCACAGCGTAACGTAACCTCCGCAGAAATATGTTGCTTGTAAATAATGCCCTAATCTGGCGCCCACTCTGAGTACTCATCGCAGATCGGGGTTGTCCCGAGTGCTCGTCTTCTGGGACATCCCAGTTGTTTGGCGGCGCGCCGCGTTCAATTCATTCTGTCGCGTTGCCGCCGCGAGGGAGTGCATTGAATCAAAACACTCGAAATGCATAGAATAGGATTGATAGAATACACAATGGGTACCATAGCCGCTGCATCCGCGAATGGAGACAAAGCATCATTGCATCAATCACTCGTCCAATTAGCCAGCTTCAGCGAATACGTCCAACGATCCAGTCAGACAATACCTACGTCGTCATTTTTACGCACTTCCACCAGTCTCGCCGCGCTCGCGCTCACTGCCTTCTTTTTCCATCCACTCTCGGCGAAATCAAGACCATTTGCCGCGATGACGGCAACGCTAGTTGTTGATAAATTTACACACCAGAATATACGCATCTCCATGCACACTATATCAGTTCCGCAGCCCCTTGTTCTGAAATCACTCTCCTTCGCCGACTTCGGCGAATACATTATTCTATACCTTCCCCCCTTCATCGACTCTCAAGCGCTGTTTCCCGAAGTTAGAAGACGCCCTGGAATAAGATGCACAAACACGCCGCCGAATTTAACGCAAGAAGGCACCCTCCTCTGACTGAAAAGGATTCGCAGCTTCTGTCGCTCCATACTCTCCCATTCTCTTGCTCTTTGAAAAGTGGCACGGAAGCTTACTCCGTAGCAACTTCTTGGCTTTTGCCGAACAGCATAAGCAAGAGTGAGTCTTGTGCACCGTGACGGGTGCGATTCACCGTGTAAGAAGACTTGATCCAAGTGCCCAGCCGCGCTTCGTCGTGGAAATGATATTTATTTTGGTTATGCCAACGCACAAGACGGTCTTCAGTCGGTGTTTTGCTACGTCTCGAGCCATCGAACAATTCACAGTAAAAGGCAACGAAGACCATGTGCCAAGCGATCATCGGAAATCACTTCCAGGCTGAGACGATAAAGAAGTTGGCCCACCAGGAACCACTACAGTAGTATGTTGTTGTTGAATCTATGGCACACCGCTAAGGAACGGTTGCTTATGTGATCTGGACCGACTCCCGGACCAAGATTTAGTGGTTCCCGAAGCGAAGAGAAGCTCCGACGGACAGCGGGATCAGACAGCGGAAGGATCGACTGAGGACCAACGACAAGCCTTGTTCAAGAGTAAAGTCGGCATGAGCGGCATCGCGATAAACGACTTATTTGGCAATATTGTAACAAGAAATCATGAAACCGGGGTCATTGACTGCGGGTGAATTTCACTTGTTGCACATTCATATTGACTTGCGTTCTGTGATGCACGTCGTTTAAGCAAATACGAAGGCCCAGACGGTCTCGGCACGGACTAGAATCAAGCGTACGTGCGTTGCAGTCGGACAGATAACAGCTTGTGTTTGGCATTGAGGCATGACCTGAGAGGGCTGGGACATGCGGGACGCCCGACGTTTCCTACAGTGAGCATCTCCATGCGCATTAACACTGTTCGGTGTTCTGCAAGCGCTCGATATGCTTCCTTCATTGGCTTGGAGGAATTATCCGTGATGTGTCGTTCCATTTCCATGCTAGTTGAGTTTCATCGTGCTTTGAAAAGATATTGATGGGCTGGTTTTATATTTGCAGTGAGTCGTTGTATGCGGGTCTTGCAAATGCCGATCAAATTTTCAGCCGGTGAAGCATCGAATGTGAATAAATTGACGTCGGACATCCTCGATGCCGTGCAGTGTCAGGCTAATGTAGTTTCTACCTTATCGTCCTTTGAAGTCTCCGAGGGAGGACGCAATCCCGCGGCTTCTTCTGTGCCAGATAAGGTACCTTCGAATAAGTTCTTCCTACTTCTGAATGCAGTTATAGCAGCGTTGTTCATGCCCAGCCACCTCGAGTAAGCGAATGGAGGACACATGCTTACGGAACCTTTAACGGCAACTGAATAACTTCTTAATTGACGACTAGGTGACGGACTTTACCGTTCGTCGATTGCGGAATTGGCGGAATTAAACGACAAATGCATGTCTTGGTGAGAGTCGAACGATAGATCCTTTTTTTGGTAGTAGAAAAGATGATTAAGATCATGCGAGCGTCATCTACCAGGAGCATTCTGAAAGCGATACATCGTGCACGTTTATCGGACTTCTTTGACGCACATCGTCTCTAGTGTCTTCTTGCCCTGCATCTCACTCAAATCTTCCGATTGAGCGGATAATTGGAGATCCATTCCATTTGAATGTGACGCGGGCCGCCCGGTCTAGCGCCTATTCCATAGCAATAGACGAGACAGTAATCCGTCGACCAGTGACCGAGCCTTTGGTGGCCGCGGGCAATTCAGCCCAAGTTTGAAGGCACGCAGCGCCATTTCAATCCACCCTTCTTGCCAAAGAGCTTTGGGACAGGTCTCGAGATCTCCCGCCCATCATAACGTAATTTATCCAGGCATTCAAAATCTCACAAGAATAGAAGTATGGTTTAGCCACTATACTGTAACCGTTGTTGCCTTTGCACATAAGGATGTATAACTTCCCAAGCGGAGAACAAGACGTTCCTTAATTGTTTTGCTCAAGTGACACCCCAATGAACAGAGTCATGGACAAGTGCTCTTCTGGAGTGGTCTAGATGGTGAGTTGTCAATGTCATGATGGTAATGGTAACTTCGATGGTCCATACTCCCCTGTCCGCCGTCGATTTTACTACGGGATGAGAGAATTTGGTATGCTTCGTTTTTGAGGTCGAACTTCTATGCGTCTTCGAACCCCTTAATCATGTCCGAGGTGAACTTTGAACGGAGAACGGTACAGTCCATCGGACATATGAAGTCTCGCACGGTTCATTGACTGCAGAGCTACAAGCGTAACGAAAAGTTCAGCGCAGCGAAAAAAAATTTCAAAGAGAACCGACATAGTTGCAGAAAATCCAAGCATGTGTGACCTGCGCGAGTCAGTGCGACTGCAGAAGGGTCACGTGCGTCGCGATGGCCTATCGTGGGAAAGTCGAAAGACGCGTCTCATACCAAACCTCTGCCACTCACTCATCGACGGCAAGGACACCGGCTCCACTTTCTCTTTTCCTGCTTACAAGATGAACAGGCGACGCTCAGCTCGACTTAGATCTTCCTTGGATAACTCCTTTCAGATCCCACTGGCGGTGAATAGTACTGTAAACAATCTATTGCTAGATGACGACGCGCTCGAACATGACTTCTTTGACGGGATGGACTACACGCTTAGCACCCCTGTTCCCGTGAAAGCTCCTTTTTCAGACTACTCTCCTAAGAAGCTAAAGCCGTACCAAGAAGTGTCGGGTGCGACTCGGTCTGAACAAGAGAACTTTGAGCATAGCTATGATTATGCAGAGGAGGAGCGGGAAGTAGATATGGGTAATACGCCTACAAACGAAGAAACGCCACGCCGTAAACACACGCACGATCCAGCTGACCGCGAAACGACGCCAACTCACCGAACACACGGAAGTAAGCGCAGTCATACGCGCACAGTCATAGCTTTATCCTCGCCTGCTCCTGTAATTGCTAGCCCCGTCGCGAGCGAAGATTTCCTCACAAGTCCGAATGAAAGTAATAGCCGCACTGCTGCCGTCTACAGTCTGCGTCGCCGCACAAGGTCCCCGTCTGCAACGCCCAAGCCAAGACGTGGTCGTCATACAGCTTCTTCAGCACAGCCTTCTTTACACTCTACGCCCGTCGGCGCCACTCCGAGTTCTTCCACGTCCCGGTCCGACAGACCTCAATTACTTGCAGAATGTCGAGAACCCGAAGCTCATATGTTGCACCACAAACATGCGCCTTCCGCGCGCCAGCGCTCTGATTCTCCCTTGCAATCCGAATCAGATATGGGAATTGTGTTGACGCAAACAACCCTTGCAAGTAAGCTCAGCGACGATCCGCGCTTGCCGGAAAAGAGACTGAGTGTGTCTCCCGGACCTTCACGCGTCAGGCGTCTTAACTCCTCGCAGAGAAGACATTCGCGATCACGCACTCGGAGTACAAGTCCGTTACCATTCTCACGTGTCGGTCACGATGCCGTTATGTTGCCTATCCAGGAAGAAGATGAGGATTTGCAAGCCAGGGACGAGCAACTGCCGATCTCGAAGTCTCAGCAGGGTTCCGGGCCCTCTGCTCCGGCAGGGAAGGAGATGATGATGACAAAGGAACGGAGGGTGCAGAGGAGTAAGTATAGAAACACCCGAGCGGAGAATGACCAGGTAGTGGATACGAATGCTTCAAGTTCGTCAGGTGCGGGCGCAGGACGGTCAAAACGAGAAGTACCATTGTCTCCCAAAAGCGCGGCGAAACGTAGTGGTGACAACTTGGCTTCCCAACCTGCTCCGAAGAAGAGGAAGACGGGAAAAATCGCTCAGTGTCCGAGTTCCATACCGCCTAAAGAAGGAAGATTACGAGTATCGCCTGGTCAACGGAGTCCTGTTGACGAGACCACTACACATTACTCGACTGCGGAGTTGCCGATGGACAGCATACAGGTCATTACTGATGCAGAGACGAACATGCCGTATAAACTACCGGTTGCTTCCGAGCTTAATTTACGACCGCCTTCAGTACCCCTGTCTGCGTGTCCTTCACCTGAACTCCACTCTGAACCTGCAACGGGCGATACTAGCAAGAATCTCGTTCATCACGAACTCAATGAAACAAATGAAGTTCAAGACTTTCTCTCGCGCTATGCAAAGAAGTACGGTACTTTGACTGAAGCTTCTGCAAACAATGTTCCGGTCAACCCAAGGCTGCCTTTGCCGCTTGCTTCAGCAGAAGGCAACATCCAACCTGATGTACCTTTAATTTCGAAGCGAGTATGGAAGGAAAACGCGTCCGCAGTTACTGTTCCGAAAGGCGAATGCTCTCGGACTAAAGTGACACAAGCCCCTGCGAATCCCGAGCTTAAAGGCAAATTGAAATCCAAAGCTTCTAATGTGACAAAAGGCACCAGAAATGTGATCTCCGGTACAGCCAAAGTGTCAAGTTCGTGTTCCGCTTCTGGCGCAAAACCTGTTGATAGTGGCGCTTCCAAAAAGACTCCAATCCAGGACACAATCGTTCTTAGTGATACACGAGGAGTGTCTGAGGTTCCCAACCCTCCTATGCTGGAAATGCCGGTGTCTCACGGAGTAGAAGCTAGTCCGCTTCCGGAACAGGCAATTAATCGAGGTACATCCAGGGGCTCTTTCAAGGTTAGATCAGAAGTGGCCGCCCAATGTCTCACGAGCGCCGGGAGGAATGCGGGAGTGGGCGAGACCGCGGATTCACAAATATCTGAGGTTTCTGTACCGGTCATAGCTCGTTCGGTTGCAACCGATCCTCTCACGGCGACCCCCGACTCAAGAACGTTAGAGGGAGGGGTAAAGCCGACTTCTGTTGTAGAAAAGAGAAGGACGGAACCGCCTAGCACGCATGGCCAGGGGCCGGTAGTGGTAGCTCCTCCGAAAAAGGTGCCTATCCGAAATGGAACAACACAAATGCACAAGAGGATGGGGAGCTCTGAACCGCGGACGGATGATATGTTCGCTCGGAAAAAACTTGATAATTATTTGCAGAAGGGAATAGACTTGACAGCACACTCGTCGCGACGCTTCGTCGATATGCCGGCACCAAAACCAAGCATTTCGACTAATCAACGCGAATCATATTCTCAGATGTCAAGGCAGGTTGGCTGGAATAGGGCACCATCTTCAAGTGCCATCGGTACTACACTCAGTGTTGGAGAATTTGTTGATCCCACCGTGTCTAATTATTTACGTCCTAGGACACGTGCGAAGAATCTACCTTCGGAGACGGGAGATCAGAAGCATACGCAAAGCATGCCTACAGATCTGGAATGCAGAGATCCTCCAAATGTAAGCCGTTCACTTTAGGTCGACCTTTCATAAATTAATTATGGCATCTCGTGTAGGGTAAAAAGCGTCGTGCTTCGCAACGAGACGCTTCAGAAACCCATGGCGAGGACGCCGCAGAACCGAACTTTCAAATACACGGCGATGTCGGTCAGGAAACAAATTGTACATTATCCGACTCCAGCCGCGGATGCACCGAAAATCCGCAGATGCAGGTAGCTGAGGATACTAGAAACAGGAGCACCAATTCTACAGGCGTCATCCTTGCAGAGCGTCTTGTCCATATTAGCCAAAGGATTATGGGCTCGTTCGGGTATTTCCAATAATATTTTCCACATTGACAACTTATTAACTGAAGATTTCTTTTTCCATATTTGCTGTGCATATTTTATTTCATTCCCGAAATACGATGATGTGCGAAATAACAAATGGATATTAATAACCTTATACGACGCCCCGTTTCATGCGATGCACAACGCGCGCATTGCCTCGCCACCTTGGCTACCCTTACCACCGATGCTCAATAATCTTCCGTCCTCGTCTTCATGTCCCTTATCCCGCGTTTGCCTACCAACATTGCACATGCCTGATTGACCCTCGTGTTCATGTCCGTTGCTGGATATGTCCTTTACGTTGTCCCTATTACTTCCTTTCGCAGGCTGCTGAACTCTCAACCTTGCACGGACGTCGCCGACTGCTCGCTAAAGGCTGAGAATATTCTCCACCAACCTGATTCAGGACTTGGCTCTTCAGAAGATGACCGCGGGCATGGCTCCGGGCTGGAACCTTCCACACGACATCCCTCAGAATTATCGCCTCGGAAAACCGACTTGCATCGTGTTCGTAATGACAATGAAGGCGCCTTCCATCGCGATAGCGATGCTGCTCGTGTCAATTCTGATTATCGTCCTCCCGATCAGATATTCGCGGATGATACCCATGAACAGACCAGTAATCCTGGGCCCAGCGCAGCTGATTTGCATGCGATCAAGGTTGCTGATTCCCTATTACTGTCCCCGCAGAAGGTGCAAAAGCATTCTGCTGATGAGGAATGTCGTAAGGAGGAAGGAGCTATTCTTGTGGATAATACGTTTAATGCATTGGCAACCGCAGGAAGTCGAAAGAAGATTAGACTGTCGAACAATGAGGGCGCTTTTGCCGCCGGCTCAGTGGTTTCTTCTAAATCTTCGCGATCGGACAAGACTCGGGATTTGATGTCATCACGGGTAAAAGCGGTCGGCACGAAGGACCGCGGACGACGCCTCGCTGCAAACGCAAGTGATGTGGTGATATCTGCTACAAGTGATCATGGAACCAAACATATCATCGAACTGCAGACCTTTGATAGGCCCCACACGGGTCACGCTGGAACGGAAGTCAGCGGGCCAGAAAAACCTTTGTGCGGCCTGACGGTACCAGTTGCGCCGACCTTTACAAATGATGCTCTATGCCAGCAACGGACATTAGCTGCGGCCGAAAGGCAGCGTGGACTGCACGAGAAGAAAGATGGGGGGAAGTCTCATTTGCTGAAGTCAGATGACCGACTTCCAGGTAACGATACAATCACGAGAGCATCAATGCCAGGTCGCCCAGTGAGTAAATTTTACGTCTTGTGTGCGATACAACCTATAGTTTGTTATCTACTTCCATGCTAATCCGGGATTGGACACTATTTCAAGACACATGAGCCACTGAAACCGACACTGCCTCGTCCGTTTCGGTTTGAGACGGATTTCCGACAAGCGAGCCGAGCCGAGTTTGAGGTGAAGCTCAGGGCTTGGGAGCAACGTGCGTCTAGGTCGTCTAGTGTTCATGACCAGGGTAAATCCCGCAAATCTTTGCCTGATTTCAAGGGTCTGCATGCTGCCCAAGAAGGGGCATTGTCCAACATGGCAGCTCGACGTCGCGAGCATGTTGCTCCGACTATACCTGTTTCGCCAAACTTCATAGTGGACACCCGATTGGCGGAACGGCGGAAATTTGAAGAAGCGCGACGAGAGCGAGAAAAAGAGGCCGATAGAGTGATGGAAGAGCAACAGCGTGCCAAAGAAATAGAAGAGGAACGCAAATGGCGGGAAGCTCGAAAGCGGACAGTGCCCCGAGCGAATGCGGTTCCCAAATGGTACGTGGAAAAGCCGAAACGTTCTACACAGAGTAGCTAGTGATGCAATACTCGTGTTTTAAACATGGAAGATACATATTCGTTTCAAGCTAGACGGAGTCAGGGTACACATAAACTACTTCGAGGACTCAGAAGAGTACGGAACTAAATTCTCATCTGTATCAAGAACGATCCGGAAGGAGATCAAGGCCGAAATCATCGGGAACATATGTTCACCAGAAAAGAAATATTGTCTTTGTCTTCTGATCTTTTCATTGCCTTGACTTAGTAGTTATTTTGCTTGGTTGGATTATGAGGCGACTGAGATAAACCAGTGCGCAATTCAAAGTATTGGTATACTTCCGACACCGCGGGAGTAAATCAAAGTGAGTTTGTAGAATAACAAACTAGGGTCGATCACAGTTACCCTGTCAGCAAATAAGGTCAAAGGAGGGGCGCCAGTAGATTAGATGTCTGTACCTGAATGTCAGCTTGTTTTAGCCTCGAAAATTGGTAACAGTTTCACTCCCCTGCTTGTTCTTTTTTCCCCTCCTTCCGCCAACACATCGGTGCATCGCCAAGGACTGCAGAGTTCAAGCACTGTAATTGTAGGTTGGAATTAATATATCTCTAGGCATGTAAATGGATGAATTGAGTGATCGGACAATCGGTTGTTCGTTAATTGTATGTTGCCCCGCAATCTGGACTCTAGAGCTGCGGGATCGGTTAACTTGCGAGATGCACTAGAATAACTAATAATACATCCACTACTTTTGAGGATGTTCTAGCTTGGTTTTTTTGGTACACATGGAGCTCCATGATATCGCACAATTAGTTACTCGGATTACTGGGTGTGTTCGGAAAAGAGACCGATTTTACCGCTTGGCGAAAAGTTGTAAAAAAAGGCATCAGGCTTAGCTGCATTACTTGTGGGTACAGTATTTTGGGCGCCGCAAGCGGGATGCCTTTTTGCCGCTTACTGGACAACGTATCGTAAGATAAGGATACCATTTAACAGTCGGTTAAAATAATAGACGGAACTAGTAAAATTATAGGGCTGACAACTGGAAATTTATGTACTCCCTCTAGTGATCCTGAATTCATGGAACACAAAGCGATGACAGATTGCAACTATATAGGAATGCTTCCTGTCAAATTATGTTACAGGGATTGGAAACCTATAGCAATCAAGAGGAACATTTGAGGACTCCATAGATGCTGTGGCGGTCCAGAAACACCCGATGCCGAACTTTGTATAGTTGAATAGGAAGAATCAGCTTATATTCGTGCGAGAGTTTATCCATGAGTAGGAACAGATTCGAATCGCGATAGCGAGCTAAAAGATCAAATTGGGCCTCCGTTCAGCGTCTGTTCCTTTCAAGCCACAATAACATGAAAGAGCCAATAGAATAGCTGTGCGGAGACATCGAGATCATCTTAAGTGTCCTAGAAGCGTTTCATCTCATAGATCCTAAAATTCATTTGGGCCAGATTGAAATTGCTTGATCAGACGCACCAATATTCGGAGAAGATCTCGGACGCTGACGCAGCTCTCAGACCAGGGCAAAATGCAGACTTAACGTTTAATATGTGTTTGTATCTCGTATATTGCGTATCACGTACCTTAAACATGTATAGGCAGATTTAACCGTAGGGAAGTTACACTAGCTAGTCATGTCGGGATTGAAGAGCTCCGAACCGGTCATAGGAAAGGGGGGGAAGGGGAAGAAAACGGTGTCGTGTCGAGTCGAGTTCCGAACGCATCATGGGAGATGGGAGACTGGCTTGCTGGCACTTTCCGCGACTAGTGCTAATAAGACAAGTTTTGACTAGGCAACGAAAGGTGGAAAGTTCCGTGCGCGTTCCGTACACACGCGTGGGTTTGTATAGGCAATTTGATTCGAACCCGAGATCGCGAAAGTTAGCTGACGGCAAGCGATAGGCTCCGTCGTCCCTGAGGATGTCCGAATGCAAGGACTGAATGAGAAGCATGAATTGAATCAGTCAGAAATTTGTTGGTTTTGAATGGTGGTCAATTACAGGAACTGAAGCCTGACATCCTAGCCGAAAAGAAAAAATAAGGTATAATTGTACGATCTGGGCTAACTAAAGTGCAGGGAAGTTCGTTAAAATCCGGATTTCAAGCATGAAGTCGAGAAATATACTCCAAGTCGTGTGATGTATAGTTCTTTACTTTCGATGTTCTATGCTTGATTTGTCCGTTCTACCGTCAAAAAGTAGGAAAACAAGGACACACAAAGACCCACCGACGATCCACTAAGAATGTTCAGATTAGGTGAAGATGACGCATGCCTCACAAAGAATCATTGCACCCGTGAATACTCCAGAACTGAATGCAACTTTTGACAATGACAATCGCTTCAAATTGGCAACATCTTCACATACTGAATGGCTAGGAACAGCGTTCTGTCAAACAATTCCAGGTGGTCTAATGCTATTCAAATATTTCGCCAAAAAGTTGGGAACAAGACAAGTGGCACGAACATTCGAATCAACCAAGCAATTCGACAAAATTAAGAGCCGAATTGGCGTTTCATCATTCAGAAGGAGACTTAAGTGCGAGAGAACCCTGACATCTCATATTCCTAGAAGCCGTTGTTGTATTTGATATTCCTGTACTGATGACGATAGTCGACAGGCTGAACTATTCCGGGACACTCTTGGGCACCCTCTTTGATGCTCACAGTCAGTTGACTTGCAGGATACACAGGTGTTCACGACATGGGATATGTTCCCCTGGTGACGTAACATGCCGAGAACCGACTTCCGTTACAAGCGAGTTTGTTGCCCTGCATCGGCGGAGGATTCTTCATAGCCTTGTTGAATAATGAGGAACAGATGAGTCGATTTCATTGCTCCGGACATTGTGGCACCGAGCGCTCCGTTGAAGAAGTCGGTCGATACAATATGTACAATAAGCTGGCCCTGTTCTACAAGAGCATATCGCAGTCTTCTTGCGTCGAATTGCTTTATTTGTTTAATGCGTTCACACTTATGTTTCCACCCAATTACAAGTTGCAGTTCCAGGGGTTCTTGACGGCAGGTCTGGTCGTTGTTCGATCGGAAGTTGGTGAATAATACGATACATGGTATCAACGGCGAACATCTGTCCATAACCGGCCGAAGACATTATAAGGATTACTTATGTCCATTGGGTCTAAATCAAGTAAATGTCGTCCGTGTCTGCCGGTACCACAACACAGTGTGTGAGTTCACAAATCGTTTATAACGCCTCGGTCCTAGTCGTCCGATACCACTCACACGCCAGAGACACGTCAGTTTGTCAGGATCAGCCATATAAACAATTCATACATAATGAATGCCGAACTAGGAAGTCATTCGTGCTATACAATGGATGAAATAACGAAGCGAACGGTTAAGGCCGTCCTTGCGGTCGGCGCGCAGTGTATCGTAAGAGGAGAAGGTTTGATGTTGCCTAGCAATTCACAGGGAATAGTGAATATGTGTACAACAGGACTAGAGACCTCACAGGCACTGCGCTTTCCCAAACATTTATTAGGACCAATGTCCAGGATAATGTCCAGGATAGTCTCGCCCCCTCGTGTTTGCGAAGGAAAAGAAGGGTTAGCATATGTCACAACCGGATGCTCCACGTTACTGGCCGTACGACGGACAGAAGATAGGATGATAGAGAGTATTATTCGGTGTCCTCTCTGCGGTAAAGCCCATGAGCAATAAAGAAACCTTCCCTGTATGTGAGTACTGCCCTCCGAAGTCCGAAGGCAAAGTAAGGCTTCCCGAAGCACAGGAACGCGGGTCGAATATATTCATCTTCTTGAGATGTCATTAGAAGGCCTCCTGTATGCCCGTCCGTTCGACTTCGCGGGAGCCGCAACAGAAAGGCTATGCTCAGGTAAACCAGCTGACTCTAGAGCAAAACACATGATTAGTTGAGAAGACAAGCCACAAAGAGGATCTAATCAAGATGATGAATGGTATTGAGACTGGGGTAACATGCCGTAAGTGAGCTGATAACCACCCGAGAAGAGAAGAATCCCAAGAACATATAAGCAAATGTGTTGGGAAGCGCCGAAGCATATTCCTCGTTGCGCGTAGAACGGACCCCAAGGCTATTGCGTAAAGGGGCGGCCGGTCACTATTGCCGCTTAAAACAGTCTCGCCAATTCTCCATCGCCCAAACCGTCAAGTTGGTTCAGCGGTAGATAGGACTGTTATCTGCAAGAATTCGGGGACACCGGTAGCCTGTGTATTTCGATCATTCCGAGTCGTGGATGAGGTCAGGCGGATCGGGCTTTTGGCTCGTGTTCTATTCTCGTGAGTAAACTAGCTTAGCTTGAGAACAGGCCCGAACTTTCGCATCATCTTAATTGTAGAAAAGTATACACCAGGCGATTGGTATATGCTGCGAGAGATAAGGGCAGTACATATGAAGTGATAAAGCCACCGTAAATGTACCATTTCTGTTGGGATGTGAAAGGATGCATAGGCTTGCGTAAACGATGACCAAAAGTGCGCGAAGCATCGCACACAGAATGGAATATTGTGCTTCACAGCTTCTCAAGACCCAGTGTCGAGATTGCCAGCTTGTCACTTTACCAGATGGTTTGTCGTTCAGCCTTCGCCGCCTTGTATCATCTTAGACAGGATTTCGAAGTGAAAAGCAAAATCAAATGCTGTAGTTAATTCATATATTAGTTTGGAAAATCTATCTCACGTTCCAAGTTTGGACACTAACGTAATAAAGCACCAGTTATGTCCAAATTTCTGAGGTCTTTCTTCGTATCTCGTCCCATGTCAAGGTCTCTTTCTTCCTCTTCCTCCTCAGACGCTGGATCATCAAGTCATGCCTTAAGTAGTGCACCTAGCTCTCAGAATGTTCAATCCTCTGCTATTCACGGATCTCCTGCTGAAGAGGGAGAGTCGAACCCAGACTCGCGCGTCTTTGAGCGCTGGCGACGCGCCTTTGCAGAGTTGACAGGTATCGGGCTCACCTCAGGACAACGAGCGGATGTTATTGCAGAGCACCAGAGAAGAACGTGTGAGAAGTGGAAGAATGACCTTGTGAAGTATAGTCAGTAATTTCAATTTTTTAATGTGTGTTGTTACCTTCGGAACGCTCATGCTGTTCGCTTTCTTCGCCCTCGTGCCATGTCTCTTCGAACGCTGAACTGCGGCATCAACGGAAATTATCTCCGACTGCCTGCGTGGTGAACTGTTTTCCTTCTCGACAATTTTCTTTGTGCCCTATTTGCTATTCTTGTTAACGCCTTACGACAGGCCCTGCGGTGACCTTCATGCTTGAGCGCATCAGCAAGGAGACCGGTGCACGTATTTCGCCGTCAGAGCACATACTTTGTCTTCCCTGCGAGAAGACGCGCTCGGGTGGGTTCACGCCCGAGGTTGGTGCGGTTCTGCTTTGTCAAGGCAACTTCTGGAGCAAGAAGCACATGGAACACACATTAACTCATGAACTGGTGCACATGTACGATCACTGCAAGTTTGACGTCAACTGGAGCAATTTAAGGCATCATGCATGTAGTGAGGTGAGTGTAATTTCTTATGTTAATGTTAGAGACCTTTGTCTCCACCATCCTTTTCCCTTTGTTTTCCGTCATGCCATCACACTTGAGCTTTTGCACACATCGTCTGAGGATCGTTTGCGGGTTCGGGCTAGTCTTACTGTTGTACGACAAATGTCGATTAGACTTTGCGCCAACTCTATTTGACCTTAGTCAAGACCTAGTTAAGTTCACCGCCACACTCCAATTTGCTCTCGTGAACCAACCAAAGCAACTCATTTGCGGAGAATGTGGAGGATTATAGTTGACTATCGCGTCTCTGTGTCGCCACATGCTTGCAATATCAGGCCAAGCATTGGAGAAAGGTTCATCAGTGTTTTATTTGCTTTTACTTGCCCTTTTCGTTCACTATTGGACTGCCTTCGAATAATCGTTCATGAAGGTTCTTACTAACGGCGTTACCTGATTAGATCCGGGCGAATAGCCTCGGAGGGGACTGCAAGTGGACTCGTGAGGTGCGACGGTTGTTTTTCAACTTCTCCAAGCAGCATCAGGTCCGTCTCTTAGTTTCACTATGCCGCCACACATACAGGCTTGACATAGGCATTTGTTTGCATCATCCCCGGTTGTTGTTGCGCCGGTGACGTATGACAGGAATGTGTACGCCGACGTGCTGTGCTGTCCGTGCAGTCGAATCCCGCGTGTCCGAGCCGGGAGGAGGCAGAACGGGCTGTGAATGAAGTGTGGGAGAGTTGCTTCAATGATACACGGCCGTTCGATGAGGTATGTGTCTCCTAAGTGCATGTTGTGCACGTCTTTTTATTTAACAGTGTGCTGTAGATCTATTAGAGTCCGCGGGCATTCATGTAGTGCATCCACGTGTAAATTATTCGGTACAATGGAAGAGTGGATATATTTACATAGAAAGCAATTCAGCCCGTCCGGAAGTCGTGTATACGTGTGATATCCGAGGGTATTACCCCATTGGGCTGGACCGGGTCCAAATGAGTGACAAAGTTATGCCCGCTGATCACATTTACTGCCAAATTAGACTGCCTGTCACACGTCGCGAAATAAAGTGAACAGACGGACGTGTGATGCCGCTAGGTTCGCTTTCTTCCTCTTTCCACGTCCTTCCTCTCCCACCGACGTCGAGCCCTCCTTGCCCTCTCCTCATCTCCCCATAAAAGCCAGCACAGTGCACTTTACGAGTTCGTCTCTCTCGTTCACCATGTTCTTCTCTAAGATTGCGTAAGTATCTCTCATCCTTGGGCGTTAGATCAGCCCTACGCGTCGTCTCTGGTCTTACGTCGTTTTCATTTGGGTTTTTCACTTACGATGTCGTCTGCAGTGCTTCAATTGCGCTTGCCGCCCCTCTGGTCTCTGCTCTGACCATTACAACACCGACAAACTGGACGTCAACTGGTCCAGCGGTGATCACCTGGTCCGCTGTGAACGGCGACCCACAGACGTTCTCCATTGAGCTTATCAACAACGTCTTCAACCGACAGTTCGCTCTTGCGAACAACGTTGCCACTGGAGCGATGACCCTTAGTCTCACCTTGCCCAGTGTGCCCGAAGGGTGAGTTTCATAGTTTTGAAATCGGTCCATTCGGATCTGGCCTAGCCTTGACCAATTCGATGACCATTGCTTCCATCTTTGACGTGGCTGACACGCGGTATTTTGACAGCGATGGTTACAACCTGCAGTTTGTGAACATTGGGTAAGTACTGCATGGGGTTGTATTTATAATGTAATAGTTATTAATTTCTTTTTCCACGTAGTAACCTTACCGATGTGTTCGCCCAAACTGGAGATTTCGCAATTGGTGCTGCGGTATCTTCTTCGACGACCTCAACAAGTGCGTCTGCGTCTGGATCTGGTACGACCGTAGCAAATGCAACGTAAGTTCTCACAGTCGTAGCGTTCGTATTTTTAGCCTGACGAATTAATACGCTCCCTTCGTAGTGTGACACCTCAATCATCAAGTGGTTTCGGCACAACAGTTTCAAACACTGGTTCAGGTGCATCTGGGGCCACTGGATCCGTAACCGGCTCTGGAGCTGTTGGTTCTACAACGCCATTCAACAACGGCGCCGCTGCGCTTGGCCTGTCCCACAAGGATCTTGTCAGCTTCGCAGTCATGGCTGGAGCCGCTCTCGCGGGCGCACGCCTCGTCGGCTTCTAATTCCCACAGTAAAATTGGAGAGTTTGGAGAACAGCTTCTATCATTCGATTCTTCGGACTCACTTTTACGCGTTGCTTCCTTTCTGTTCGTTTCACACACCACTCTGTTCATTCATGATAGCATTCGTATTGGACTCATGACCGGACTACTGCATTCCACGCCTTTGGACGAACTTTTTTCTTTTCTTTTCTTTTTGTTAGTCTCAGACAATTTGTTAGGCGTCAGTACCGTGTTGCATGTCCTTGACCTTTTTCATTTGGTGTGTTTGTCTGTGTTTTTGCTGCTTTGGATGATCTCCGCCAGCTATCCGCTCTTTAATGCATTTCTCGTTTAATCCTGGGCATATGAAGCTTCGAACGGTGTGATGGAGTGTGTGTTTTGAACGAAACGTGTAAGCCATTTGGCGTTTTTGTTGATATCCTGATGATGTTCCAAGCATCTGGAAGAGAAGTGATTGCATCGTTTTGATTGTTATTTTAACGTCTGCTTACATTTCATCAACGTGCCGGTTCTGCAGAAACGTAAAATTGAGCTTTGCATACATGCCAAGGTCTTAGAACACTGAGCATCTGCCATTTAACAAACGTAACATTGTTTAATAATTTGATTTTCCTAGCATACAAGTGGCTCACAGTATTGTATTGTGAGTATTTGCTCTTCATTTGACATCTCCTTTGCTATATTCCTTGACAAATAGTACACGGAACTCAGTTTTCGTACTCTTCCAATCGAATCCCAAATTGTATCAAGACGAGTTACAATTTGCACAATTGTAATTTTGTTCTGCAACTTTTTACTTACTCTTATTGTCGTACTCTCTGAGTCTTCTCATTTGCTTCCGTTTGCCTACAGAAGAGTTTTCTTGATTCAATTAACATTTCATTTACATTAATAGACGTTGCGCAGCCGGGTCAAAGGGGATCATCGTGATCCGCTCTTTAATATTGACTGCAGTCTGTCAACGCTCTCAAAAGCAGTGCATACATTGCTATAAAGGCGTTCAACTCATGGAGGGTGTTCAGTACGCTTAACGTCAGCTCCCATCCTCTTCCCAGGCCCAGTGTATTAGCAATCTCCACATCATTTCAATCAACATGTCATCCGAGTCCTCACAAGACCTCCTCACATTAACACTCACACCAGACAACCCAGTAAACACAACACTCACCAACCAAATCTATTACACCTCCGAAACGCTCTACCCACGCGGACCCAAATCATCATACGCCATCACACACGTATGTGGTAAGCACGGTGAGACACTCGGTGCGCTTGAATGGCGGGACGTCCGGAGTGACTTGGTTGGACTTGGTGGAGAGGGTGTAGAGTTGGATGAAGAAGGTGATGCGGTTGGTCTTAAGAAAGGAAAGGAATTTCCTTTGAGTGCTTGGATGAATAGTAGTTTGATTCCGTTTAATTCGTGCGTTTTTCTGCCCCAATCCTTTTCCTTTCGAAACGCAAGCAACGAAAAGGACTTTCTGATAAATGAATTTATGCATGTCGGTTTCATTTGAAGATGACAAGATACGGAAGTATAAATGGAAAGGGTGTGGAACAGGGGAGAGCATGGAGGTCAGTTCAGTAAAATTTCCCTGGTCAATCAATCGCAGTATTACTCACTCTTACATGTGTAGTTATGGGTAGAGGATGCTCCCGACTCTCCGATTGCTCAGTTCCAGAAGTCTCGTCCTCGAGCTGATCCTTCTACACCTGCACGACTCCTCATAACCCCGCGTGCGCAAGAAATCATGGATACAGTCGTGATTAGCTTCCTGTTCCTAGAGAAGCGCCGACGAGCTACGGAGAACTCGACGCAGAATCGTGCGGACGTACTTGGCACTCCGGCTCTTAATCTTCCAGGAACTAGCAGGCTGCGGACTCAGGTTGTGAACAATGGAGTATAATCGTCTTCGAGACAGTTGCTTTAGTCAAAGATGCAGCCTTTATACTTGCTGTTCTGCGTCTGACTAGAGAAAATTCGTCCTTTGCATGTTACCTTCCAAGAAAGTTAAGATTCATCAAGACAAACTGCAATGTACAGGTATCTAGAACGGATAATTCTAGCAGGCGAATTACATCTTGTGAATGAGAGGTTCCAATTGCTTCTTGTCCTCAAGATCGATTAAGTCGCTCGATCCTAAAAATAGAAAGTTTAGGAACAAATTAGGCAGGATCTTTCCCTGAATAGCTTACCGCCAATGTGCTTGGTGTCTGTCCATGACAAAGCAAGGAAAGGGTACATATCCATTAAACATTTAATACGTTTTTAAATTTCAGAACAGACATACCAATAAAGATGTTGGGTACAGTCCCCTGGCCTGTCTTCTCCCTGAGGTAGTCCTGGATATCGCCGCCATCAGGGCGCTCGTCAAGCCTGATTTAAGGATGGACGAATCAAACGGCGTGAGTAAGCATAGTAGCATGAAGCAAGCAGTTGCCACTCACTCGATAACAAACGCTGGGACATCATTGTACTTGTCGGCAAGGAGCTGCTTCGCCCGTCTACAGTACGGGCAGTAGCTCTTGCTGAATACCGCGATGCGGTTGCTCTCGATCATGTTCTGCGTGCCATCACATTGTCAGAATGTGCCACTTCACATCTCACTTCACTAAATGGATTAAATTCGTATGAGAAGACTCACGTCGACGAGAGAAGTCAAGGCAGCACGTTGATCTTCAGACATTGTTGAGAAAGACGATGTTCGACCGAAGAGAAAGTTGCGGATGGAGGACAACATGCGAGGAGAGGCTAGAGGCCTTCTTATGGCGTTCATGCACTGTTCACTCCGACAATGGAAACACTCCTGCTCGTCGCGTCATTGTCGTCCGCGGTCACGGGGTCTATTACATGACTTAGTCAGCACATGGGGCATTTCACAATTCCTTACCTTAAAAAATAACTTACATAATGATAAACATTATTTGTAATTTAATTTACCATTTTTGGTTAATAGCAATTGTGAATAAAATTTAAAATTTTCTTTATACAAAAACTAGAAATTATTGTTAACATTTCTTCATTTGTGAAATTTTAAAATAAATAGAGATAATAATCTAAAACATAATTTCAAAATAAAATTAGAAATTTTCTTTTGAATTTTTTGTTATTCCTCTGTACTAGTAATGAAAAAATTTAAAAGAAAATTTCTAATTTTGTTTTGAAATTATGGTTTAGATTATTATTTCTATTTATTTTAAGATTTCACAAATGAAGAAATGGTAACAATAATTTCTAGTTTTTGTATAAAGAAAATTACAAATTTTGATCATAATTTTTGCT